AATACAAAAATTTTACAAAAAAATATAAATAAATAGAGGTAACAAAAATCTTTGCGCGTTTAATTTTTATTTTTATTTAATACCTTTTTAGTGTAAATCATAGATTTGTTTATTTATTTGAAATCAATTTTCTAAAAATCTGACTGTAGAATTTCAATAATTTTTTTTTAAACTTCAGATAAATATGTTCTTTATGTATGATATTTTCCTGGTCAATGCTTCAACTTTTTTTCCATATAAAAATTTGTTTTTACTGTTATGCTATTCCTTATATATCAAAGTGCAATTTCATTAATTATTTTGTTAATTACTATTTTTCTGACTATATATATATATATATATATATATATATATATATATATATATATATATATACATATATATATATATATATATATATAAATATATATATATATATATATATATATATATATATATATATATATATATATATATATATATATATATATATATATATATATATATATATATATATATATATATATATATATATATACTAGCAGTAAGCAACCCGTAATACGCGTTGTTAGTAAATAAAGTTAAAAAAAAAACCGCGTATAAAAAAGCCTAGAAACTACTTTCAAATAGAAAAGCCTAGAAAATTACGTAACTCGACTAATATTAAATTAGCGTATTCATATTATCAGATATATATATACAGGCCTCGGCAGGAATAAATGATTACAAGAGCAGAGAAAAGCTCTCCTAAAACGAACTTGGGGAGCTGTGCAAGCTGCTCCTTATATAAATCGGCGCTCTTTTTAACTTTAATTTTTTTTTGCAACAACCCTGCTTTTTAAAAAGCATTGTGGTATAATATGCAATTATTTTTTTTATAAATAACATAGTGTTTTTTGTTTTAATTACAACAATAATTATACTTTCGTAAGAAAAATTATACTTTTGCGAGAGCCGTAAATTGCAACCGTAAACCGTTTTAGGGGAGTGTGGGCGAGAGCAAGAGATAAAGTTCTTGCTTCCCGCCAACGCCTGTATATATAGTCTTATATTAACAAGTAGATAATGTAGAATATATAGTCTTATATTAACAAGTAGATAGTGTAACAAAATATATTTCTTTAATCCTTTTTTAAAGCTTATGCTGCTATGGTGTAACAGAAATAAAAAACGAAATGTCTTTATTTTGCTTTTTATTTCTGCTGCACTATGTATGGTGTAGCAGAAATAAAAAACATAATAATTCCGAAAATTTTTTCCATAAAATTTCACATGTTTATCTGTCTAAAATGTTTTGTTTGATTTCTTGCTCTTAATGTTATATTCCAATTATAGCATTTGTGATCTCCCAGAAGCTTCATTTTCATCAATTGCCATTCACAAACAAGAGCTGGTAATTTAAAAAATAGCTTCAATACAAGATTTTCACAATTCTTTAATATAAGTTTCCCTATTTTTTAAGTATAAATATGCAAATATATGCATTTAAACAGTTTATATATGCAAATATATGCACTTATACAGTTTAAAAAAATGCATACTTGCATCATAACAAGCAGGTCTTTAATAACTTTTTTTTTATATATCTTCCAAAGAATTTTACTGCAAAAAAATATTTGCAAATTTCAGGTAACAAAAGCATATATATATATATATATATATATATATATATATATATATATATATATATATATATATATATATATATAGTATATATATTAATATATATACATATATATATATATATATATATATATATATATATATATATATATATATATATATATATATATATATATATATATATTTATATATACAAATATATATTATATGTGTAAAATAATAAACACACATAATGTGTATTATTACATATTATGTGTAATAATTATGTACACACACATATACATATATGTGTGTATGTATGTATGTATGTATGTATATGTATATATGTATATATATATATATATATATATACATATTTATATATATATATATATATATATATATATATATATATATATATATATATATATATATATATATATATATATATATATATATATATATATATATATATATATTAGTAAATACATTTATAAATAGTCATAACAGTAAAAACAAATTTTTATATTGAAAAAAAGTTGAAGCAGTGACCAGAAAAATATTATAAATATAGAACATATTTATCTGAATTTAAGTATTTATGTATGTATGTATGTATCAAGAATTTATGTATGTATGTATGTATGTATGTATGTATGTATGTATGTATGTATGTATGTATGTATGTATGTATGTATGTATGTATGAAGAATTTAAGTATGTATGTATGTATGTATGTATGTATGTATGTATGTATGTATGTATGAAGAATTTATGTATGTGTGTATGTATGTATGTATGTATATGTATATATGTATATATATATATATATATATATATATATATATATATATATATATATATATATATATATATATATATATATATATATATATATAAATACATATATGTATATATATATATAGATATATATATATATATATATATATATATATATATATATATATATATATATATATATATATATATATATATATATATATATATATATATATATATATATATATATTGGTAAATACATTTATTAATAGTCATAACAGTAAAAATAAATTTTTATATTGAAAAAAAGTTGAAGCAGTGACCAGAAAAATATCATAAATATAGAACATATTTATCTGAATTTAAAAAAAAAAATTATTGAAATCCTACAGTCTGATTTTAAGAAAATTGATTTCAAATAAATAAACAAATCTATAATTTTCACTAAAAATTTGTTAATTGAAAATAAAGTTTAAGTACTCTAAGATATTTTTTGTCCTTTTTTTATTTATATTTTTGTGAAATTTCTATAATAATATACTGATCTACATTAAAAATAAGGCTACAACATAGAGTTTTCAGAAATCAAATAACAAATAACACGGTTGCCATATAAAATATACTCTGTAGTTAAGAACCGTAGCCATTTTAAAAGTTCAAAAGTTTTTCGTATTTTCTCACGCATGCGTACCTAAACATAGCGCTTGTAAACGACCGTGGTCTCCTAGTTCTAAATTACAGCCCAGAACGTGCAACTAAACTTGGTCTAGATTTCATTTTATAATTGTTTAAAATTTGAAAACGACAGATGAAAATTTTTGATAAAAACCTTTAAATAGTTTTTCTTTGAACAAAAAACGTACAATTCTACGCAATTTTGTATAGATGTATATACATATAAATCTTTCACATTTTATAATCATTATAAAATGTCAAAGGTTAATAATATTTAATATAAATCATTACATATTTTAATCAGAATTTATTGGGATTTTAATAAGTTTTGTCAGAATAAGATCTTCGAAGAAGAAAAAAAGCTTAAAATTTTATTAAGATCTTGAAAGATAATATTTTTTGAAAAGAAAAAAAAATACAATCTTACGACAATGAAAGTTTAGGCCTCAGTTTAAAAAATTAATTTTTTCTTAAAAAAATTGTTTTTTTTTAGAAAAAATCATTTTTTTTAATATTGATGTTTCAAGTTCATAGAACATAATAATGAATTTTTATTTTAATAAGATAAATAAATATGTTTACTTTGGCCATTATAGGTTTTGTTTATTCTTTCATCTATAATCTTTTCGACAATGATAATCTTTTTTTTTTTTAATTTAAACTTGATTTAAAAAAAGAATGAAGGTTGAAAAAGAAAAAAAAACAATTATAAAAACTTTATAATTGTCATTAAAAAATATATATATAATATCTTCTCAACATTAACTGGATTGATATGCAAGAAAATTTCTACGTTTTCTTAATTTGGAAAATAATGTCGATTTTCAATATTAATTCTTAATATTTTTTCATTGCTTATTTTTCAGTTAATTCTATAAATATTCAATTAATAGTTATAAATGGTCGAAATATAGTGGTCAAGACGCAATTATTAAAACATTAACTTAGAAATCGAAAGGTCCGTTTGATTGTTTGTACAGCCTTTAGCATTATACGCCGTTTACACGGCTTTTTGCTAAGCTTGTTAAAGCTTCTAAAAAACAATATTTTATTTATACTACTGGTACTGAAGAACACTTTTTTAAGACGAATACAAGAATGTTTGGACCAAAAGTAGAAGAAAAGTTTAAGAGAGAATTAATTTTGACTGCGAAAGAATTTAAATGTCAAATTCTTTCGCCTTTCGCAAATATAAACAGTATTGCGCAAATATTGTTTGCTACTCGGTTAGGATGTCTGGAAGATTGTGTCATTAAATTTAAGAAGCATTTTAGAGGAATATTTTTTTTCAATTAATAATTAATCTTCCAGACATCCTAACCGAGTAGCAAACAATATTTGCGCAATACTGTTCATATTTGCGAAAGGCGAAAGAATTTGACATTTAAATTCTTTCGCAGTCAAAATTAATTCTCTCTTAAACTTTTCTTCTACTTTTGGTCCAAACATTCTTGTATTCGTCTTAAAAAAGTGTTCTTCAGTACCAGTAGTATAAATAAAATATTGTTTTTTAGAAGCTTTAACAAGCTTAGCAAAAAGCCGTGTAAACGGCGTATAATGTTAAAGGCTGTACAAACAATCAAACGGACCTTTCGATTTCTAAGTTAATGTTTTAATAATTGCGTCTTGACCACTATATTTCCCATCGACCATTTATAACTATTAATTGAATATTTATAGAATTAACTGAAAAATAAGCAATGAAAAAATATTAAGAATTAATATTGAAAATCGACATTATTTTCCAAATTAAGAAAACGTAGAAATTTTCCTGCATATCAATCCAGTTAATGTTGAGAAGATATTATATATATATTTTTTAATGACAATTATAAAGTTTTTATAATTGTTTTTTTTCTTTTTCAACCTTCATTCTTTTTTTAAATCAAGTTTAAATTAAAAAAAAAGAGATTATTATTGTCGAAAAGATTATAGATGAAAGAATAAACAAAAAAACAAAAACGAAGCAAATTGTTTTGTTTATTGACTTTATTTAATTTTCTAATACATAAGGTTTGTTACTCATCAATACATAAGGTTTGTTACTCATCAAGCAGAGCATTTAATCAAAAGGATTTTGTTATAATAAAAATAACAACATTAAAATTTTTTAAATATATTATAAAAAAGAACTTAATAGAAGTCAAAGCTTAAATCAAATAATTTTTGTTTTTTATATCGCTTAAATAAACAAGCACGTGCAAATTGTAGATTTACAAGCATAAACAATTGGTTGCTTTGCTTTGCTTATCTCTAAACTATACTTAATTAAACACACTTACAAACACACACAAACAGTAAAAATTAAAGATGTTTAGTTTCTTCATGTTCATTTAGTTGCAATGAACTTTCATAACTTGATGAACCATCGACTCCGTCTACGTTATCGGAATGAAGAGTGTTAGTGGATAGGATTTTGCCATTTCGAACTTTAGGTGCAGCTATAAAAAACAAACGTATAAATAAATAACCTGATAACACTATACAGTAAAATTGACACAATAAACAAAAAATACAATACGAAAAACGTATCAATAAAAAAATTTTATAACAAAATGTTATCAATTTTTTAGTCCTTATACCTCCAGAACCTAGAACAAAAATATGTATTAAGCATACATTGAACTGTTTTTATATTAAGCATAAGTGCTGTATGCCTAATATAAAGCCGTTTAAACAACGCAGAGTTTATGACTAACTACCAAAAAAATATTGTTTAATACTCTATTGTTAAGGATTTTATTTTTTAATGTTTATGATACACTTAGTTGCTTTTTTTGTTAAGGTGCTCCAAGAAGACCTATCGGTTTTAAAACAGAATACCGCGGAAGAGCATTTAACCAGGAGATTCACGCCTCCTTTCTTATCAATGTCGCTTATTGGGCTAGAGCCGACATCTAATCACGAACCTCTAGGTTCTAAGCTAGAATTCTAACTTCACAAATGAGTCTAATTTTGATGTGCTGATGCTTTTCCTTGAATAACTCAAAAGCTTCTTTTAGCGTCTAACAGCGGAATATTGTTTATTTTTCCGTCAGACAATTGAATCCAAATAAAATCTTTTTTGCTGGGTTTGAGAAACTTTATCTTCATTAGTCATTTTCAGAAAGTCCATACAACTTTGAATATGCTGAAGGTAGTCTCAGATTTTCTTACAAACAGAACTTTTTTTACTTTTTGACATCTTCACTTTCAACAAAGCTGCAAGCAACCATTATCAGAGTTGGAAGTTACTGGAAGAGAAAAGATGAAGCTTATAGAGTAAGATAACGTTGATATCATTATATTGCTCTATAAACTTTTTTTTTTTTTTTGCACCTTGTCTAGAAGAGAAAAGACATCATTCAAAGATCCGCCCCAGATATGAAAACAGTATTCCATACAAGGAAGGATTTGAGATTTATAAAGATAAAGAATAGAACCTTGAAAGTGGTGAGCACGATAAAGAGATGCAACCTTAGCAGATGTTAATTTTGCAATTGATTTGATATATGGTCAAGAAAGATTAGAAGTAAGAGTTAATCCTAGAAGATGAAGGGTAGATGCCTCATCAAATACATTACTGTTCAAAAATATAGGAAGATATAGGTTATTGCGATAACGATTAGCTGAAAAAAAATTGAGTTTTATCTGAGTTAAAGTTTACCAGCCACTGTGAACCCCATGCTGTAGCAGAAGTGAGATCCTTTTCAAGCTCAAATGCCTCCTCCAAGCAATCAGAGAGGGTTAGCTTCTTATCAAGAAAAGAATAAATGGTAGTATCATCAGTGAACAATACTACCTTAGATGTGAGGATTTCTGGAAGATCAATAATGTAAATTAAAAAGAGTATTTGGCCAAGAATAGAACCTTGAGGAACCCTAAAGTTACAGGATATGAAGAAGAGTACTGTCCATCAAGAACAACTTTCATACTACAATTGGTAAGGAAGGATTCAATAATCTTAAAGATGTTACCTGATACATTACAAGAAGAAAGCTATTAGTTATTACCATTAACAAGTCAGCTGTAGAACAAAATATTGATAATCAGAAAATAAGTTATTAGATTTAAGATGAGAGATTAAGTTTTTGCTAACTAAAGACTCAAAAACCTCGCTTAAGATAGGAAGAAGACTAATGGGACGGTAGTTAGACAAGTCAGACTACTCTCTAGAATTTTTTAAAATAGGGGTGACAGATGCTGCTTTCCAACAGGCTGGAAAACAAGACTCTGATAAGCACTTGTTGAATAGTTTTGAAAGGATAGACGACAGCTCCGGAGAACACTTCTGCAAGACTATAACAAGTATGTTGTCCGGACCACAAGCTGTAGAGGAGTCTAAGCAGGAAATTACTTTAGTTACAGAAGTTGGAGTGATACTGGAGTAAAAATATCAGACAATGGACAAACCTGGTTGTAAGTTATATTAAGTAGAATGCAAATAGTGAAATCAAGAGATGATATTGATTAGAAGTTCATAGCTAACAATTCAGCTTTGTCTTTAGGTGAGATGACAAAATCTGAACCATACAAGGTGGAATAAAAAATTTGCCCTTATAGAAAAAACATCAAAAGAGTGGAGTTTTGATCAACTATAACTTAAAAAATGTAAATTATTTGAAAATAATAAAATGTAAACTATTTGAAAGAATAGAAAAAATTTCATCTTGTTTTTCCTTTGAATTTGGTAGTGCTTTTAAAACTTTATTCAATGCTTCCCCCCCCCCACCATTTAAAGTTTTTAAAAGATGAACTCAGTCTTTGAGATTGATTTATAAACTTTTTTTTTTTACAACCTTTAGTTTTGCCTTAGCTTAAATAGCTGCTTTTTTTATTAGGACCAGCTTTAAACTTTTTTAAAGAGCGATAGTAAATTCACTTTATATTATAAAATTTTTAAAACCTTGCTCTATAATACAATTTTATATTGATAATTAAACCTTTTTTATCTTTAAGTTAAGTAGTGATTAAAAGTCAAGTAAATTATAAACTAATCTAATGGGATTTTATATTATTTTTTTTTGTAAACATTATAAATAGAAAGTCAACATATAATTAGGTTGACTTTGTTTTCAATTTTCTCTCAATAGTAAGTAAATCTTATATCATAAAGTGTGACCATTCGAATTATTATGGAGGGTAGTGTATATAAAGAAATGTAACCAATTTCATTTAAAATGTTTTAAAAATAATCAAAATTACTTTTCTTAAGGAATGATTTTTGCTGCAGTTTATGCTTCTTTGTTAATTTTGTCAACTTCATTGACCATCTCTCATAAAACTCATTTACCTCCATCAATAAATACTCCTTCAACAACTTTACTTGCGTAGCCATCTCTTTAACTTCTGGTGATGAAATCATTTCAAGATCTGGAATAACAACAAATAAATTCACAAACATAAGTACACTGATAATAGAAGTTTTTTTTTCATATTAATTACTCACTATAAAACTTACACATTATAATAGTGACTTTATGTTAACAAATCTTTGAAAGCAGATGAACACTATTTAAGCTAAAAGTTAATAGGTAAAAAAAAGAAAAGTAATTTAAGAAAGCTTGCATAAGAACATACTTATGATTTTGCAAGAAAGAGAATTCCTAAATGCTTCAGAGCAGTGATGCAAGGTAAAAAAAAATCTTAATGAATAAATAGTTTTAAACTGCTTTAAGGAGATTAAAACTCTAATCATCCATTTTTTTATTTAAAACCCTGGAGAGATGAATTTCCATGGAGAAATGGAGAATTTGGTTCTAGAGGATTGTTTTAAATTTCTTAAAACGTTGTTTAATTGTAATTTTGAATGTAAACACAAGACAAATACAATGCATAATCATTGATTTGGCTTTTGAAAAAATATTTGAAAAAAATTAAAAAAAAACAACAACAGAAGAAGCAAAACTATATAAAAATTGTAAAATTAGAACTAGATATAAAAAATAACTTTTTAAATAAACACTTTTAGTTTAAAATATATAAAATAAATTATATTTATTTAATGTTTTATATTATGATTAATAGGATTAACATCTAAGATGACATATGATGCCTAAAATTTCAGAAATCTTCAATGCACTTTATTTGCAGGTGACTTAATATCTTAAATATTTTAATCTATTTCAATATTAAAGAGAATTTAATATCCAATTAAATCACATTAGTTTTTTCTTAAAACTTTTAAAATGGCTCCAGTAAAAAAAGATGTTCAAAAAGAATTCTGAAAACAAATTTGCCATTTTCAAATTATACACTTGAATAAACCTAAAATATTTACAATAAACATTTTCTTGAAGAGTGAGTCCAAGATCAAACATATACAGTGTTCTTGAGCATTTTGCTGATAATCAAAGTCCTTTATGTAAAAAAGGACAAAAAAACATGAATCAGCTAAAGATATTTCTCAACCATCATCACGGTGTATCTCAGCGCCAAGCAGCTCAAAAATTTAATAGTAATCAGCAGCATTTTAGCTGTACACTTGAAACTAAGAGCGATACTATATTCGATACTAGAAAAATGGGCAATTCCTTGTTGTACAAATGATCAGCTTGCACGAATCAAACCTTTGTATCGATATCTTTATCGCAATTATAGAAATCTTGACTAGATCTTAGAAGAAGAGTCTTAGAAGGATGAATCTTCTGCAACACAACATTGAGCAGAAATGATGGCTTTTCCTTAAACTATTTATTTGACCAATTATTTTTCTAGCTAATCCAGCAAGTGTAAAATTCATAACAATAAAAAAAATAAATAAGAAAGGTTGCTTGCTTCTCTGATTATATTACCTAAAGGTATCAAAACTATTCATGATGAAAAGTGGCTCAGCCATCAACAAGAAAAGGTACATGAAAAGGTACGCCTAATAATAAGGTTCTAGGTATATTTGGAGAATTTACATCAACTTGCATCAATGAATATGACATAATTGGAGATTACTGTTTTTGGCCTTCTCTTGCTAGTTCACATTATGCAGATGACATTAAATTTTAAAATTCCTCTGTATGTACCAGAAGGCCTTGTTTTTAAGCATTACGCATCTTGCTTTACGTACAACTATGTACGGGTCAAGCTATTTTATGTATGCCTAAAGCAATTTTGGTTAAGCAAATTTTTATTTTTTGGTAAAGCAAACTTTTAAATTAGTCAATAAAAGGTAATATAAAAAAAGTAACTGTTTGTAATTAATTGTTTTTTATAAAAAATAAATTAAATTTTTGAATGAAAATTATGTAAAAAAGTTTGTTACAAAAGTTTGAATGACAATTACGTTGGATTTAAGGGTTATTTACAAATGAAATAAGTTTAGATAAAAATAAAAACAAAGAACATCTAATTTTTATTAGAATTAAAGATATTTTCAAAGAGCTAGAAAGTGTATGTAAAAACAGTTTAAAGTTTAAAACTTTTTAAATTTAAACATGGTTATTTAAAATTTCTTAAATCTAAAAAAAATATGACTAAAAACTGCACAAAGTTTTGTTTTGAGCTCATTTTAAACAGTTTTTAAAATGAGCTCAAAACTCATTTGAAATTAAGTATTATTCTAATCAGCCGAATTGAAAAGATTTAGAAATTAAAATCATAATTCCTCTTTAAAGATGTTTCATACCCTGTAAAAAGAAAAGAGAACTCGTGTATTTTATGATACAAAATTACTTACTTTGAAATTTGTTCTGAATTAGTAAGCAACTGGGGTTGAAATTCAACTGAGGGTGAGGCAGGGTTTGATAAAATATAGCCAGGGCCGAGGCTGGGTTTGAGACCGAGGCTGCATAAACATTTATACATCCTAAAGTATTTTTTTTTATTGAAAATACATGTATTTTCAATATAAACAATCTAGAGCATTTTCTTTCCTTAACTAAAGCTCATCTATACAATATGTAAGGCACTCTCTTCAAGTTTTCTTATTTACCACTACTACTTAATCCTGAAGCTGCTACCTCTCGACATGCTGATACTTAAATCACTTTAATCTTCTTGAACAAATGTTGTTCGATACAACGTTTATTACTAATCTGTCTAAGATTATACCTCCTTTTCTTGTCTTGTTAGAGTCACACCACATAACCATTTGATCATCTTCTCTTTTGATAAATACTATACCATATAAATACTTAAGTTTATATAAATATGTAAAGATATTGTATGCCAGCATCTAAATAAACAGAAAACATATAAGTTTATATCCATATTATGTATGCATAAATGCGTATCTTTTCATGGGTCTGATCTTTTTAATTCTCCCTAGAATATAGCAGAATTATATGGAAACAACTTATCCTCTAAATTGGTTCTTGAACCTAATGGCTATACTGTTTCTGTCATACCAGTTAAACAGATTAACCCATTTTTAAACATCCAAATCACTTTGGCTTCCAATGCTAAAGTTAATTTTCAATTAAATACTTCTACAGTTTGTGCTCCAGACAAGATTTCCATTATAGTCTTACAAAAGTGTTCTCCAGAACTCTTTTCAATTTTTACTAAACTATTAAAAAGTGCTTAATAAGTGGTTTTATATTTTAAAAACTCTAGAAAACACTTTGACCTCTCTAACTATCCTATGATTAGTCTTCACTCTGTTATTAGTTTCTTTGTATAAAGTTTTTGATATTATTAAATCATTTCTTTCTAACTGCATTATCAAAGTTATTTTTGAAGGCCTACACTCTTCTTTATTTCGAGTAACTTTAAGGGTACCACAAGGTTCTATCTTTGCTCCTATATTGTTACTTATCTATAATAGCAATCTTCATGAAAATTTTACATCTAAAGTGGCTCTTATTGCTGACAACTCAACTTTATACTCTTTTCTCGACATAAAGTCTTCACTTTTTGACTGCTTAGAACAAACAGCAGATTTTCAATCTGATCTCTTTTCTGCAACAACCTAATGCTTGCAGTGGCTTGTGGATTTCAAGTCTGGACTTAAAACACACAATTTTTGTTAGACAACAAAACTAATTTAATTACTGCAAAAAGTATTGTTGGCATTCCTATATTGATGAATAAAACCCCTCTTACTCTCAGACAAAGTCTAAAAGCACATTGTAAATGTAATTGAACCTGCTTTATCTACTTGAGCCACTTTCCAATTGTTGTAAGGTTGCATTTCTTTCTTTTTTCTACAAATACTATTATGGTCAGTACTCAAACGAGCTATCATCAAGCTATTGCAATAAACCAAAACTCATTCTTACTTTGCTTCTTACTCAACAAGTTGCATCCTTTTACTGAATCTGTCCCTTCATGCTAAGAAAATTTTTATTAATCTAGTTTTTTTTCCTTGCACATCAAAAGAGCCTTATAACTCCTACTCATCTTCATGTCATCCTTTTTTATACAATATACAACTTTTTAAGTCTTCAGTTAACAGTTTCCAAGCTTTTTAACTCTATCCTCTATTTTAAAGTAACTCATAACTTAATAGTGGTTGCTTGCAACCTTGTTGGAAGTAAATTAGTTTAAAAATATATAAATATATATTTTTAAACTCAAATTTATCAGTATTTAATAAATAGTAAATGTAAGTATAAAACTATAATATATAAAGTATTATAAATTTTTTACTAGCCCTGGGTATCAACCTCTGCTAAATCTTATAATTTTGGCAGGGCCGGTTTTGCAAAAAGTCTTATTTTTAGCCAGGTCACTTCCTATTCCGAATTACTCTTAAAGTTCAATTAAATGTTTTTAACTGTTTATTGTTTACCATTAACACACCTTTTTTTTTGTTAATAATATTCACCTCCTCAAGACTGAAAGGGCCACTGCAATCCAGGAGGCTACTTTTTGTGGTTACGCAAAAACAAAAACTTTGACGATTAAGGCTGCTGCTTGGAGAAACAAGTTGGGCACAGTACTACCAGAGCAGGGATGGAATTCGGAAATTCTCGCTTATGAAGCAAGCATTCTACAACTACACCACTACCGTATAAATAAAGCATACCTTGAACCTAATACTTAAAGCATACTTGAAACTAATATTTTTCTTTAAAAGATTATCTGGTATAATTCTTCATTTTCTAAAATTGACTAAAAGAAATCTGATGACTAAACAAGAAGTCTGGTGACTAAACAAGAAGTCTGGTGACTAAACAAGAAGTCTGGTGACTAAACAAAAAGTCTGGTGACTAAACAAAATTATTAACTTGCATTTCAGGAAAACCTTTGAAAAAAAAAAAATCTGTAATAGCAGATTTATTCGAAAAAAGATCATCTCTTTAATTCAATAAATTCCTCGTGCATACAAAAAAGAAACATTTTTAGAGAAAAAAAATAAGTTTTTAGTTTTAGATAGGGAAAAGACTAGTTTAAAAGACTAGTGAAAAAAATCAAAAAAATCAACCAACCATTGTTAAAATTATTAAAAGAATGTATTCCTCAGAAAGAATAAAATTTTAAAGATAGAAAATAGAATCAGGAAAATAAAAATGGCAACCAAAATTAACTCTTAACTAAAGCTAATTTTGCAATGGATTTGATGTTTCTTGGAGAGATCAATAGTAGAAGATAATACACATTTAAAATAATATAAATATTTTAATATATAATTATATGATAACAATACAACATTAAATAACATGATATTATATAACTCTAATAATACAATATTGATAATCTTCTGCTTAAACTAAAAGAATGTCATAGATATAAGAACACCATTTCAAAAATGAATGATTAATTTTTAAAATTTTAATCAAAATCCGATTGGTAAATCAACTGCAAAAAATTTTTTTTAACAAAACTTGTTTTTGTAATGCGCATTTTATAGAGAAAAAAACAAAAACATTTTTGTAAAAAAAATCGAAGGATATGGTTTTTTATGATTTTTAAAATTGGATTATATATGCATAAAAGCTAAGAATAATTAGGTCTGGAACATTTGAAACAATTCCTTACTTTCAATCCATTATTAAATTATTCACATTTTATATGAAGCTGAGCTGCTAAAGTTTACAACTACAACAAATATGATCTTCAATCGGTCAATGCTCGCAGCATTTTGTTGGACCATTACAATATTAATGTCACAGAAATCAAAACAAAAATAATTTACTTTGAAAATATGCATAATAACAAATAAAGACGTTTACATAAATAAACCATTAATTCAACCTGTATCATATCAGATACAATCACATATAACAAATTTACATATCGCTACAAACTTGAGAAAACTTCAAACTAACTTTGTAACTTGAAAGAAATATGGATATCTACATTTTAATCTTTTAATCTGTTTTTTTCTATTGTATGAACATATGAATTTTAGCTAAAGAACTTATCAAAACATCCTTTAATGTCTCTATTTGTCATTTTTTCAGTTTAGAAATAAAATATAGTCTATATAACAAAGTTATTTGGTTATTCTTGCAAATTCTTGCAAAAGAAAATTTTAACAGCATATCCAAATAAAATATATTGTTGAAATCATAGTGTATATAACAATACTTTGAACTTAAATTGTATAATATATAACTCATATTGTATCATATATAACATATATAACATATATAATATAAATTGTATCATATATAACATATATAACTCAGAAACTCAGAAAAGAGTTAACAACCAAAGAGTGTTGGGTTTTTATCAAAACTGAAATATGTAGATTATCAGTAAATAAAGTACAATTTAATAACGTACTATATAAATTTATGTTAAATTAACTGTTTATGGTAAAAAACAACTCTTGGCAACTTTTTGTTAAAAATAAAGTAGGGGAAGTTGGTGTACATAGGGCCACCCCACTTTATTTGGAAAATAAAAAATTCAAACTTGTGCTTTTCAGCCAGATGATAAGTTATAAAAAGTTTTATTTTTTAATCCTATTTTAATTCTCAGAGAGCATTGCCACGGTAAGTTATAACCAGAAAACACTTTTTGATGGTCCAAAGTAAAGTTTTGCTGCTGGTATCTTATATTATTTTACAATTCTAGAGGAAATGCTTTTCTATAGGTTCTTGTATATTATATTGTTTGTTGCTTAAGTGCTAAATGGGATGTTCAATAAGTTTTCTCTCATTACGAGTTTGTGAATAAATGATGTTTTTTATGAGGCTATCAGTCTTGTAACTAGGTCCATATACTTTGCTTGTACTTAGGGTCATATGTGTGTTTACCTGATAAAGAATTTGTTTGATCTCAAAGTAGATTGTTGAATTTTGATTGGTGCAGAGTGTGTTTTTTTTTCTCTATGTAGTTTTAGGATTATCATTTTATGTGAAGATTTATTCATCAATTTTGCTCAGAACTATTAATTAATATTGAGTTGCAATTGTGTTACTTAATGTTCAGAACTGTTGTATAATTATCCGATGCAGGTTAGTTTACTTTACAGTGATGTATGGCAATGTGTTATTATGGTAAGTGTTTGTTATAATTTTCAGAGAGCAAACCTAGGTAAATTAGCTGGTGGCCCTAAGTACAAATAAAAAAAACTTATTGTACCTAGGTTCTATGTGTATATATATATATATATATATATATATATATATATATATATATATATATATATATATATATATATATATATATATATATATATATATATGTACCTGACTTTTTAAAAGTAGAGGTTATAAATAAGTGCGCATTACTTTTTAGGTTTTTATTGATTAACACACTTAAAATGTGTATGATAAAAAAAAGAGATTAATACTATTATCTTTATAATAAATAATAAAAAAAATTAATAATTAATCTTTAATAACAGATGCTTACCGTCAGGGATCATGAAACATTAAAATCTTGGTCTAACTTATGCTGATGACTTACAATTTTTGAACAAAAATTTATTGCATTGTTACATCGCTTTTTCAACCCTTTAATTCAACTACAGAGACATTATACATAATAGGTAAAGTAGTAGTAAATAAAAAACACTTACTTTTTGCAGCTTGGACCATACGCTGTCTTGGTCGCAGATACCGAAACTCAAACAAAACACCAAAAATAATAAAAGCAAAAAGCATAGCTAATGTAGCACCCAAAGAAGTCAAAAATAAAGTGTTGCTTGGATTGAAAATATTTTGTGCAGAGCTTTGTGCCGAACTATCTCCTGCTGGCTAAAAGAATTAAACGTCAAACACTTAAAAAAAAAAAGTAAAAAAAGCAAAAAAAAAGAAGCAGTAGCAAAGAAGCAGTTGAAGGTGCACATAATTCTAAACTCTATCAATATCAAATTACCAAAAGAGACAAGGTTTATGGAATTTTCTATATAGTTTTATTATATTTTTTAAAACTACTAGTATTTTCTGCATAATGCCATTATAAGGATTTTTCTACAAAATATTCATTGACATTTTTGACTAAAAAACCAAATTGCTAGAATAAAAAAAAGTAAAAACATAAAAAATTAGCTTTTAGAAACATAAAAAATTAGCTTTTAGAAACATAAAAAATTAGCACAACCATTAAAGAAAATTTTAAAAACTTTTTAAATAAAGTTTTTAGAGTTTTGCAAAATTTAAGATTATGAATTTAATTTAAAATTTAAGATAAAAATTAACTTCCTTTCAATTTTTTTCTATGAATTGATACCCAAGTGACTTCACATTTCCCTATTTAATATTTTATATTACACTTTTTAAAACATTCATATTTTACTAATAGTCAAAATACTAACAAATATAAATACAAGTTTATTAGTCAAATTACCCCCTTGAATTTTTATTAGGTTGAACTTTGGTGTACAATTTTCTTTAAAAAAAAAAAATGGCTCTTTTAAGCATAACAGATGTTGTCTTTTGAATGTGGTATGAATTGTTAGAAAATGTTTTTATCTCAATTTTTTTAAATTAATTTTAATGTATACTCAAAAAAAAAAAAAAAAAAAGAAAAAAAGAATTGATATTTAAGCAATGCAAGATTGATAATGAAGGCAAGATTGATAGGTAGAAAAACATTTCTTGAAATTCCTTTTTATATTTTGTAATCTTTCGCATCACTCCTGGTATTTTGCATGGTTCTTTGTGTTTTTAATACTGGATTTATATCTACTACTTTATACTTATATCTAGCATTTTAATGATTTATAATGGAAATATGAAATAAAAATCATGTGACAATATGAAGTACCAAGTACTACATGTAATTGCTACATTAAACACCATTTACCACATATAAAACACAAAATCACAAGAGATCTTGGTTGAGGAAAATATCTACAACAAGTAATTTGTATAGTTTCTGATGTTTTATAGTTTTCAGAAAAACTAATATAAAAAACATAAGAGAAAAAAGAAAGTTAAAAAAAATAATAATGATAATAATTGGAAGGGAGCCGCTGAACAATATTAGCTAAATTGAGATTTATATTTTTGTTTTTTAAGTGATTTGTTCCTCAGGAGCAAGTTAGTGTCATCCGCAAAGTGATATACATTAGAAAATTTAAGTGAAATATTTAAATCATTGATAAAAATAAGAAAAAGTAATGGTCGTAAAATTGAGCTTTGTGGAACACTGTTAGAAACATTTTGCTAGTTCTAAGTTAATACCATTAATTGAAACAAATTGTGTTCTGTAACAAAGATAAGAAGGATAAATGTTTTTAAAAAATTAAAAGGTAAACCCTTTTTTCTCAGTAAATTGTGTACTCAACTGTGTCAAATGATTTTTTTATGTCAATAAATAATCCACACACATTGGTTTATTACCAATTGCTTGTCTAACTTTTTCTGTTATTTCTATTAATGAACGAGTTGTTGAGTGTTTGTTGCAAAAACCATATTGATGTTTTAAAGACATTTATATTTCTCCAAAAAATGTCTTTGTCTTTGGAACATAGCTTTTTCAAACAGTTTACATAGATTGGAAAGAAAAGTAATAGGTCGCTAATTGGAGTAGTCTATAAGAGAATTCATTTTGTGTATAGGAATTACTTTGGTTACCTTAAAAGCTTCTGAAAAAATACCATTTGTGAAAGAATTATTCATCATCATACATATAGATTTAGAGATAATGTGAGATACCAGTTTAAGAAGTTGGTAGACTATTGGGACCAATGCTTTTATTATTTTTAAGAGTACCTTTTATGAGATTTGACACCTCATCTTCAGTTACGGGATCATTGAAAAAAGAAAAAACACTAGGTATTTTAAGAAAGTTGCTAAAAAACACATATAGAAGGAATAATATTTTCAAATAGTTTGTCTTGAATAGTTGCATAATAGTTATTAAATATATTAGCAACACATGATCTGAGATAATTTAGTAGATAATAATAGATTTTGAGACTAAAAGACTTAGTATTAGTAGAAGGTTTGAAATTTTTCCTTAATTCCTTTCCAAGTATCCTTTACATTATTAATTTTTTTATAAACAAAAATGCATTGTATAAATTTTGAGAATATCTTAACAAGTTGCTAATTTTATTGCTGTACAACTTAAACTAAGTAAAGAATAGATTTTTAGTATTTACATTTTTTGATCTAGTTAACTTTTTATAAATTAATTTATATTATTAGAAATAGATTTAATAATACGAGAAGTTATCCAGGGTTAAGATTTAAGTTTGATTTGTTTTTTTGTTAGGTTTTTGCAGGGAGCATATTGGTCTAATACTTTTTCAAATGTTTTAAGGAAAAATTTATAGATTTATTTATGTTATCATCTTTTTTATCTGATAAATTTTATTAAAATTTCTTGGATAAAAGAATCAGAATTAAATTTTTTTAAAGCTTCTTTTAAATGTTTTAATTTTTTTTAATGGGTGGATTATAAGGAATACAAACAAATTGTGCCATGTGGTTAGAGGTTGAAATTGTAAAATAACCAGAGATGTCAGTAGAAAATGAATTCACAAAAATGCTATCAATAAGAGTTTTTATTTTTGCAGTTACACGTGTTGGAAGAATTATGGTTGGAAATAGGAAATTCAAAATAATTAGAAACAACTTGTGATTCTTTATAATTAAATAAATCTATCTTGAAATCGTCCATTAGAACAAAAAAAAAATTTTATGACTAAACTTTTCAAGAAGATTAAAATGGATAAATAAAAACTCATCAATGTTTAAAGAAGGATGTTGATATACGGTACATCAATATAAAAAGGTATATTGATAAAACATATATCAATATACCTTTTATCAATATACCATTTTATTTGAGTATATATCAATATACCATTTTATTTGAGTATATATCTAATGAATATTAAAAATATATACATATAATTAATATTCATTAGATATACTCAAACAAAAAAATTTTAATTTGGTTTCTATTGAGAATTGTAAAGTTACTAATAAAGGAGTATTTAAAATATTTTTTTTATAAATGGTGTTGATTGGTTCCAGTAAAAAATATATTGATGTTTTGTGGAGAGTTTGCCATATTCGACAGTATTGAAAAAAATAAGGGTGCAAATTTAAAGAAGGATGTTGATATATGGTACATCAATATAAAAAGGCATATTGATATAACATATATCAATATACCTTTTATCAATATACCATTTTATTTGAGTATATATCAATATACCATTTTATTTGAGTATATATCTAATGAATATTAAATATATACATATAATTAATATTCATTAGATATACTCAAACAAAAAAAATTTAATTTGGTTTCTATTGAGAATTATAAAGTTACTAACAAACGAGTATTTAAAATATATTTTGAAAATCAAACATAAAACAGTAAAAATTTAAAAATTTTCAATTCAGGAAACCTTTTTTGGATTATGAATATCTTATGCTTAAAAAATAAATAAATTTAGTTTTATTGATATTTAGAGTAATATTGCTATTGTTTAATCAAACAATGAAGATCTTAACTTTTTCACAAACTTGCATAAGTGATTAGTGTCATCAGCAAAATGATTAAAAATCGAATTATTTATAGAGTAAGAAACTAATTAATATATATTAAAAATAGTAAAGGCCCAAAAACAGAATCCTGTGGGACACCATATTTGATAATTTTATTTGTAGATTCAAACTAATCAAACTGAGACAAACTGAGTACAATTTTGGATATATGACAAAAACCAATCATTAGCGATACCCTATATGTCAGTGTAATAACTTTTTTTAATAAAATTTTTTATTAAAAAAAAACTGTAACAAAAGCTTTTTAGAAATCAATTAAGGTGCCACATGAAAAAGAACCACTATCAATCACACCACAAATCATTTTAGTAACGCTTACAAGAGCATAAGCAATACTAATAAGAGCATAAGAACATAGTAAGTAGAGTGTTTTAAGCGAAATCCAAAATGGCAGCCATAGAAGCATTTAGATATTGGTCTGTAGAGTAATAAGAGTAATAATGATATTGGCAGTCAAGTTTTTTTTATGGATTGGTTTAACAGATGCTATTTTTATAATATTTAGGAATATACCAGTAATGAATGAGGGAGTTTAGAATATGTAGAAAAAAGTTAAGAAAATATCTAAAAAAAAAATAAGCAAGAAGCTTAAGAATAAAGGATGGAATGCTCTTTGGACCAGAAGCCTTGCCACCATTTAGAAAAATAATAAGCAATATTATTTCATTTTTTCTCAGTTTAATGAATATAGAGTTAAGGTTTGTTGTTTTTAAATGGAAATCTGTATGAGATAAGCGAATATATTTTAAATACTTATGGAAATCTGTATGGAATGAAAGAGTAATTTTCACAATTCCTCATGAATTGAAAAAAAAATGAGTCATTAATTTCTGATTTTTATTTTATCGAATGTGTTAAAAGACGATTTCTTTTTGATCTACATGATAAGGTACACTGAAAAGCTTCTAAAGTAAAAACATTTTTTATCAATTAAAAATGAACAGTTACAATTTAATGAAAATTCAGTTTTTTCAGCCATTTGAAAGTTATATTAATAGAGGAAGCACATTAAACCTTTATATTGAGAAAGTACATTAAACTTTTATATTGAGGAAGCACATTAAACTTTTATATTGAGGAAGCACATTAAACTTTTATATTGAGGAAGCACATTAAACTTTTATATTAAATTTCTTTATTGAGGAAGAATATTAAATTTTTTATTTATTTAAATTTATATATTAAATATTAAATTTTTTATTTATTTAAATTTTTTATTTATTTTTTATTTTTTAAATAAATATAAAAGACACAACTTTAAAGTCAACATACACTAAATTTTTAGGTACAGTGGAAGTACCTAAATTACCTAATTTTTTAGGGATAGGTGCAGTAAAATGTACAAACATTTTTGAGTTTTTTTGAAATTTTTGAAAATCTTTTAGTTCAAAAAAAGTCTTTTCTTAGTTTTATTCTGATCTTTGCTTTTTAAATTGTTTATACTTTAGATTTATAATGACAAATTATGTTAAAACTTTCAGGCAAGAGTGCCCACAGACACATACAAAGAAACAAACATATATATAGAAATGACTGTTTCAGTATGATATCATAAAAGATGTTTCATGCAGGGCTAAGTATGCAATATTTTTTGCATGCGCGCGTGTGTGTGTGTATATATATATATATATATATATATATATATATATATATATATATATATATATGTAAGTTGCTTTCAATAAAAAGGCAGCATGCAACTATTTTTAAATATATTTTGATATAATAATATATAAAGGATATTTCGCTGACCTATTGTGGTCAGCACCATCAGGTAATAATCCTACATCATCAGGTAATAATCCTATTATTACCCGATGATGCTGAAGCAAAATATCGCTATTATTATATCAAAATATATTTAAAAATAGTTATACGCTACCTTTTTATTAAAATCAACTTACATATTATAAACATATCGTATAACAAAAATATGACTTTTCAAGATATATATATATATATATATATATATATATATATATATATATATATATATATATATATATATATATATATATATATATATATATATATATATATATTTATGTATGTATGTATGTATGTATGTATGTATGTATGTATGTATGTATGTATGTATGTATGTATGTATGTATGTATGTATGTATATATATATGTATGTATGTATATATGTATGTATGTATGTATTTATGTAGTTATGTATGTATGTATATATGTTATAGTGGTGGATCCAGGAATTTTTGGTGGTGGTGGGAGAAAGGAAGTTGAAATATTTTTGTCTTTGTATCACATTTGCGTCTCTTAAAGAAAAAAAAAAGGTCCTCCATACTTAATGTATGTATATATGTTTATATGTAGGCATAAATATCTGCAACTTACTGACAAGGTATTAGAGTTCTGGGTTATTTGTTTTGTGATGACAGCAGTATTTGAAGTTGTGTAAGCAACAAATGCATCATATACAGCTTTTTGATTCAAATCGTTTCCCAAAAGAACACAATATGTATTACTTGATTGAAAAATAGTTTGAACACGAAATTCTGTGTCAGTTTTCATATAAAAGCCAGCAACATACATATCCAACAACATTCCTTTCACTTCATTGTTGACCATGGCTGCCCTCATTGATTGAAAGCTGGAGTAATCTAGTTTAATAATATGAGATAAACAAATCAGCTGATACATAGCTTGTCATAAAAATGTCTAAAACATACACTAAATTCCAAAATAAAACTTACTTTTCATTATGCCATTTCTGTTAACACCCAGTCTATATTCATCAGTGTTGTTTAATGCACCTAACTATATGAACATAAAAAAAACAGTATTATCAAAGAATAATATACACATATAGATTTGTATTTGATAAAAATATGTAAAATGTACTAACTATTTTACATAGATAAAATTTGGTTTCTATTAAATAAAAATTTTTTATTTAAATTGTACTGTTCTGACAATTTTTAACTAAACCAGGGTTTAAATGAAGCGTATTGCAATTGCAAACTGCGATTGTTTTTCACACCGTAACAACTAATTTTTTCTTTAAAAAATATTTTTGTAATTTTTTTTTTAATTTAGCATTTTTTTGTCCATTTTTAAAAGTATAGCATGTTTTTGTCAAAGTTTTTTATAAGAGGTCATAAAGTATGTCACGCTAAGTTTATCCTAAGGCTAAGATACTACAGATAAGCTACTCAACTATTAAATTTACCTAATATACTCAAAGACTTGCAAAAGCTTGCCATACAAATGTTTGTATTTATATTTTATGTGTTGTTAACAGATAATAATGTTATAATAAAACAGATAACAAGCTTCTAACTAAAAATTATTTTAACAAGAAATCTCAAATTCATTTAAAGACTGCACTCTTTTCAATGTTATTTCTGATCAAATTGACAAAGTTCTTTCTCTTTATCCCTGAGCCATTGTTGGTGACTTTAATGCTCATCACACTGAATGGTTTGGGTCTAGTGTCAGTGACTCTGCAGGCATTAAGGCCTGCAGAGTCACTGACACTAGAGCATCTAGTGTCAGTGTCATCTTAATGTCATCACAAATTAGGTTTTCGCAACTTGTGGAAAATTTTTAACAGTGCCTATTATAAGGGCAAATCTTTTATTTCTCCTCTCTTGCATGGTTCAGATTTTGTTACCTCACCTAAAGACAAAGCTGAACTATTGCTAAGAACTTTTTATCAATCTCATCTCTTGATTCCACTTATCACATCCTACTTGATTTAGCCATTAAACAAGTTAATCTATTGCATAACTTTCTTTATCTAAAGTGATTTCCTGCTTAGATTCTTCTATAGGTTGTGGTCCGGACAATATACCTGTTATAGTCTTGCATAACAGGTATGTTGTCCGTATGTTTTACCCATTAGTCTTCTTCCTATTATAAGCAAGGTTTTTGAGTCTTTAATTAAGAAACACTTAATCTTTCATATTAAAGCTAATAACTTACTTTCTGATCATCAATACAAATTTCAATCTTCTCATTCTACTGCTGATTTGTTAACGGTTATAACTGATAGGTTCTATTGTGCATTAGATGGATGTGGAGAGGTTAAAACTACCACTCTCGACATTCCTAAAGCTTTGATAAAGTTTGGCATGCTGGTCTTCTCCATAAGCTCTCCTCTCACAGTGTATCAAGTGACATTTAAGATGGCATTATTCGCTGATGATACTACCGTCTATTCTTGTCTAGATAAAAAGCACTCTTCGATTACTTGGAGGTGGCATTTGAGCCCCATGCTGTATCTCACAATCGATACAGCATGGGGCTCTCAGTGGCTCATGAACTTTAACTCAGATAAAACTAAATTTTATTAGCTAATTGCTGTAGCAACAATTTAGATCTTCCAATATTTATATACGGTAATGTACTTGTTGAGTCATCTATCCTTTGTGGGTAGATGACTCATCAAGTACATAATGAGTTATCTACCCAAAGATGGGAAATAAGAGTTAATTCTTCTTGGGCTAACTCTTACTTCCCATCCTTCTTGGAAACCATATATCAAATCCATTACAAAAATAACACCTGCTAAGGTTGCATCTTTTTATTGTGATCACCACTTTCTAACTCCAGATGCTTTTCTTTATCTCTATAAATCTCAATTTCGTCCTTGTATGAAATACTGTTGCCATATCTGAAACGAATCTTTAATGATGCATTTTCTCTTTTAGACAAGGTGCAAATATTGCAAACATAGTTGAACCTGCTCTTTCAGCCAACCTTCAACCATTGTCACATCATTGTAATGTTTCTCTATCTTTTTTTATAAATATTATAATGGGCGCTGCTCTAAAGAGCTAGCATCTCTAGTGCCACTACTAAAATTAATTTTTGTGTTACTCGTTATTTAATTAAGTCTCATCCTTTTACTGATTGTTCTTAAGTGCTCAAAAAATACTTATTTGTCTAGTTTTTTTCCTCGAACATCAGTTCTTTGGAATTCACTTCCTTCATCTTATTTCCTGATTCATACAACTTGCAATCTTTTAATTTGTCTGTTAACCATTATCTTGCTTTTTAGACTTTATTTTTTCTCTTCCAGTAATGCTAAATAGTACGCTAGATCAAGAAGCAAGAAATTAAAAAAAACATGGTATCTAATGCTTTTTTGCTTTGATCTTGCTCGTTTGGTTTATAGATATAGCATGTTTTTGCCCAAACATGAAGTTTAAAGTTTTATGACAAAAATACTTTAATTTATTATTTAGAACAATTCTATTTATTCATTTCATTTTATTTTAAAATTTGAATTTTTATTTATGTTATCAATGTTATAAACTGCAAAGTTGTTTTGTCAATACAAGCTTTTTACAATAATCTAATAGCTTTTTACAATAACAATTAAATACTCTTTAAAAATAATATGTTTTATCGTCAGCATAAATTTAATAGCCCACATGCACACATAATATAAAAATTAAAAATGAAAATAAATTAAAATTTTATTAAAATTAAATCTTAAATTAAAAATTAGAAACAATGATTTATATTTTTAGACAACAACTCATAGCAATATAAGTTTAAACAGAAAAATAATTTTTAACAAAAAATACTCACCACAGACCCATATAACATAATATCAGTAGACATGGCGGTAACTGTAAGTGATGTGGCCATAACCCCTGTAAAAATTGCAATAAGAACAAGTCCTGTCAAAATCCACACAACTGCAAAAAGACGACCTGGAACTGCAATAGGAGCAATATCACCATATCTATAAAAAAAAATTTAATTTTACTATTTAAATATATATTTAAATATATATATATATATATATATATATATATATATATATATATATATATATATATATATATATATATATATATATATATATATATATATATATATATATATATATATATATATATATATATATATATATATTGGGTGTATATATTGCTTAATATTAAATATTGAATGTATAATATAAAACAATATATACATGTAAGTAAAATATATAATTCCTATACATCAATTATATTTGAAAAAAAAATGTTGTTAATTTTTTTAATTTTTTTAAATAAAATATATTTTATATATATTTTACTTTATAAAATAATATATGCTTTATATAATAAATAAATAAAATTGACAACAATTTATTTTCAACAATGCTTTACATTGAATGCAAATCAGAACAGTATTTTGGAACGGAGGGGGTAATAGATATGTATACATAACTATTGTATTTATATATTCAAGGTTTGACAGACTTTTTTATCAAATCTTTTAACCTTCACTTTAAGTGTTTTTGCTTTATCCTGTTCAATATCCTCATTGCAATTTACTTTATGCAAAGCTAATACAAACTGGTTTAACTGGCCTTTGATCAAAATTTTTTGGTGTTGTTTCAACATTCTTATTTGAAGTTTTGATTCACTGTCTTTTGGGAGCATTTGCACTTAATTAAATAAGTTCCTGGTTGGCTGTTATATGGTAATTATATGTTAGGGGTGTACCGGAATTTGTGATATTCAGTTCATTCTGGTTACGGCCGGAATTACAATAATTAAAGCCGGAATGCCGTAATTTTTTTTCAATTTTATTAAAAAAATAACCAACAGTAAAACAATAAACTAACTTTATTAGTAAAAAATAACCAACAATAGCTACACCTAGGTAAAAAAATAACCAACAACAGTTAAACCTAGGTAAAAAATAACCAACAATAGCTAAACCTTGGTAAAAAATAACCAACAATAGCTTAACCTAGGTAAAAAATACAAATTTATAAATGAACACAATTAAATTTTATTTCTGGAAACATAATATTCCTAAATTTCCAGAAATCCTTAATTAATTAGTGGGCACTAATCAATTAATTAAGGATTTCTGGAAATTTAGGAATATTGTGGTGCAAAAATAAGAATTGCTCTCCAGTTTTTGGCAACAAACTAGCTCTTTTTTCCTTAAAAATGTTACCTGCCTCTGAGAACAGTCTCTCTGAATAAACAGATGAAGCAGGGGTTGACAGAAGTTTTCTTGCTATACAGCATATACGAGGATAGTAATCCTTATTAGCGCTCCACCATTTTAATACTGCTTCTTCATTTTCTAATTTACCTTTTCCTTTCCCAGCTATAAAACAATCTATTTCTTTTTTTATCACCTTATCTGTTATTCCAATAATTTTTCTTTTTTTTTTTCCTACATTTTTCTTTCTTCTTCTGACTCATAACAATTAGAAAATTTTTTTGCAATTGTCATTCTTAAATTTGATGCATATAAAGCTGATGTAGATGGATGTAGTAGCTTCATTTATTTGATCTTTTATCTCAGACAAAAACCAACTTTTAGCCAAATGTTTTTGCTCATCAGAGAAAAGTGACAATTTATACCTTGGATCAACAGCTGTGGACAAAACATGTACTTTACTCATTAGTACATTAAAGTGACCTTTTAATGAAACATTACTCATGAATCTTTTTCCAATAGTCTCTTTTAGCATCTTCTTCATTGATTGGATTCTAAAATCATCTGCAAGGCTTCCAAGAAAATTATGTAATGCTTGAATATGGCTAATTACTGATGACAGCATTGATTTTTATTTACTGACTGTATCAGTAATCATAAAAAATGGTTGTAAAAGTCCCAATACATTTTCTATTAACTCCCATTCACTTGAAGTTAATATTAAATTTACTAAATGAGGATGGTCTGCTGTGTAAAGTTGTATAGATCTTTCGAGAGTTTCAATTTGATCTAACATTAAATATTTAGTATTCCATTTTGTCGGAACATCTTAGATTGGTAATAAAGGTGTTGAGATTTGTAAATCTAATTGTTTCTGTATTTTTTTAAATTTGGTGCAAGCCAAACTAGAATGGTTAAAATGAGCGCAGATGCTCTGCATTTCTTTATCATGTTGTATACTGCAACCTGGTCAAAAAGGGTGTCTTTAATAACTAACTGCAGTTGATGAATAAAACATGAGATGCCTGAGGACTCCGTCAAGTCAATTCCAAGTTACATGTTATAAGCACTGTCTTGAAGGACAATATGTACTTTCTTTTCGAAAATATTCCAAACAACTAGCATCGCATCAAATAAATTAGCAATATTTATTCCAGTGTGGGACCCTGGAAAATTCTTACAGTGTAGAACACAATCTTTTCTAATAAAATTATCTGTGATCCAATGCGCAGTCAATGATATAAGTGCATCATTACTATGGGTATTTGTCCAAATATCTGTTGTAAACGAAATATGATCAGCTGCAGAAATGTCATTAAATACTACAGTTTTTAGTTTTGCATATGATGTTGGTAGCATTGTTTCCTTAAAAAACTTTCTACTTGGAATTAGGTATTGTGGTTGCAAGTGAGAAATCAATTCAATGAACCCCTGATTTTCAACTACAGAAAAGGTTGATTGTCGATTGCAATAAAATTTATTATTAAATTGATTAACTTTGGAGGAGCGAGAGTCCTTTATATTCCAAACTTTTTTAGGAACAAAATCATCTCTGCTAGTTTGTGTCTGTGACTTAATTGCTTCAAATTTTCTCTCTTGTGGCGTCTCAGCTTTTTATTTTTTTTCCCTTTTCTGTTCCTCTTGTTTAGCCTCATCATATGTATCTTTTTTAAATGATATATTTTTAAATGCATATGAAGTGGTGCTGTGCTAAATGTTTTTTTTATAATTTACATTCTTCTGATGTATCTGTGGCATCATTTATTTTAAAATATCTCCAAACAAACGAAGGAAAAGACATTTTTAGATGTTCAAATGTAAGTTTAAATAATTAAAAACTATAGGATGCAGTACAAATACAGTAAAAATTTATATTTTAATCTAAATTGAAAAATAAAAAATAAAGAATTAATTTAAAATATAGATAAAAATGCAGTTAATATATAATAAAAATGCGATTCTATGGCGGAAAATAAAAAATAGTCAAATTTTTTTTATCTTTTTTGTCATATATAATATATATATATATATCTATCTATCTATATTTCTATCTATCTACCTATCTATCTATCTATCTATCTATCTATCTATCTATCTATCTATCTATCTATATATATATATATATATATATATATATATATATATATATATATATATATATATATATATATATATATATATAAATATAAATATATATATATATATATATTTATATATATATAAATATAAATATATATATATATATATATATATATATATATATATATATATATATATATATATATATATATATATATATATATATATATATATATATATATATATGTATGTATATACATATATTATTACACCTTATGTATAAATATATGTATGTATGTATATATATATATATATATATATATATATATATATATATATATATATATATATATATATATATATATATATATATATATATATATATATATATATATATATATATATATATATATGTATAAATAAGGTGTAATAAAAATATATATGTATGCATATATATTTTTATTACACCTCATTTAAATTAAGAATTGCTTACTAGTTTTGTTTATCTTTATAGTAAATGTTTTTTTCAGAAAAAGAAAAAAAAGAAAAATATTGAGAGAAAAGATTGCTACCCTATCCCAAACCCTCAGTCAACGTAGCTGCACTCCTTTGCGGCAGAAGGCTATAAGATAGTTGATGTATGCACTGAAGCCCACGCCAGACAAGTGCCCACACCACACAAGTCTAGAACCTTGAGCATTAAACTTTATTTTTAACTATGTTAAAATTCACTAACCCAACTGTTGTCATGCTAACAAAAGCCCACCAAAAACCTTCACCCATTCCAGAGGTAAAGCTTCGCGGAAACTGCTTTTCATTCCAATATGTTTCCTAAAAAAGGAAAATTTTTGGTTACTTTTTCTACACATAGAACATTTAATAAATTTGTATAGTTTGAGATTAAATCCTGATATCATCACTTATTTGCGATTTTGGTTAAAGAAAAAAACTTATACTTAGGGATTTGAAACATTAAGAAAAAATATATATATACATAAATAAACATACAAGAATCCAGATAAGAATACCAGCTAGAGTAGCCATTACAATTACCAAAACTAAAATTGGCCACGCATTCAATATAGCATTAAACATTGCAATAGAGGAAGCATTTTCATTTGGTTTTGAAACAATCAATGCAACACCAGGTGAATTCAATAATGCTACGCAGTAGTTGTTTCTAAATATGGAAGAACCATTTCATTTAGAAAGTTTATATATTTTTATATAGTATATATATATTATATAGAATATTACAGATTTAAGAAAATAATTTTATAAAAACTTTTGAGAAAACTTAAAAACTGAAGAGAAATAAATAAAAATTTTCATCCTAAGAACAAAACTTAAAAAATAATTTTTTATATACTCCTTATATATTTTATTTAAAAATAACTTTTTATATATATTCTATACATAATTTATTTTAAAATATTTTTTTGTCCTAATAACAGAACTTATAAAAATATTTTATTTATAATACAATATGATATTATTACAATGTATTATACAAATATATTTTTATAATAAAAAAAGAAAACAATAGGAAAAGCACTACTTTATAAGTTGGTAAACTTTGTTTATTAAAAGTAAAAAAATATTAAAGAATAAAAAAACAAGAAAATTGAAAAATCTGAAATTATCATGATACAGAAAAATATGAAAACAGGAAAGAATTTCAAGGTACTGATGTTAAAGGAGAAAAATTGAATGTGTAAAACTTTTTTGAACATGAGAGAACAGTTATAGTTTAATGTTTTTTTTTCCACTTATGCAACTTTGCTGAATGACAAGCCACACAAGACTAAAGTTGGTAAGCGGAAAAATAGATAATATTATAATATAAAAGCATATTTAAGCAAAAATTTTAAACAAGCAAAAAAAATGTGACAGTGGCTCAAGAATAACCACTAGGGCAAGTCCAACAACATTTAAAATAGATTTATGATTTAAAGAAAAGTTGCTTTATGAAAGATGACAACAGTATTCCAAAAAAAGACGGATGAGATTGTTAAAAGTATGCAATCAGGAGTAAGAGAATAAAAAGTAAAATAATGAGTCAGCCTTAGCATCATCTAACCTCATGATCCTTATCACAACTTTTCATTAAATTTTGATATACAGTTTCCAAAGGTAGCAAGTAGTAAAAGATAATCCAATAAGACAATGTTTGGATTTGATCATTTGATTTTATTAATTCTGAAGTTAACTCTAAAGTCTCATTAAAGATATGTTTCATCAAAGTGTAATTCTTTTTCCATCATGAATTTTTACTGTTATTTTTTACACTTTTGATTTTTTCCAGTAAGAGTTGTCATGAATTAATATTTTTTGCTAAGCAAAAAATATTAATTCATGACAACTCATAGCAAATCAATAGCAAAAAATATTAATTCATGACAACTCTTACTGGAAAAAATCAAAAGCATAATAAATAACAGTAAAATTCATGATGGAAAAAGAATCACACTTTGATGAAACATATCATTGATGAGACCTTAAAGTTAACTTCAGAAATAATCAAAGCAAATGATCAAATCCAAACAATGTCTTCTTGGATTATCTTTTACAATCTGAAGCTTACATTTTAAGTTATTAACCATTCTACAAGCTTATTAATGTCGTTTTGAATTAAAACTCTGTCTTTGCCATTTTTTATTATTGATAGTAGTTTACTGTCTTTAGCAAAGCAGATGGTTAAAGCTAATTCAGGTATATAGTTAATATAGCCAATTTAGTTAAGAATTACACCTTATATATATATATATATATATATATATATATATATATATATATATATATATATATATATATATATATATATATATATATATATATATATATATATATATATATATATATATATATATATATTTATTTATATATCTGTACCTGAGAAGCAACTTGTCTTAACTCCAAAAACACAGTTTTACAGTAGAAGCAAAATAAAGATTTTTTATAATCACTTTAGGAAATTAAAATTCATACACTATGTACAATTTATAATACTCTATATGTATGATTAGTTAGTTTTTAAGCGACGTAGATTTCAGATGTGTATATAACTCATTTTAACCAAAAATGGAGTTAAGACTTTTAGGTTTTAGACTTTCAGGTACAGAACATATTTTTACCCAATACTATTTTCTATTTTCTATTTGATAAGAAGTTTCCAATCCCTTATTTTGCCAGTGGTAAAGATTTTTTATAGATTTTATTAGTGGAAAAGCTAAACTTTGACTTTATTCATTTAAAACATAAAGAGAGAAGTTATATAAGAATACTGTTTGTTTTTTTTGTCACAAAACCTTAGTGAAATGCCTGTTGATAAATAGTTTTTTATCTTTAACGAGTGGGTCAAGTAGATTCTTAATGGAAAATCAGGTGTATAAGTTTGCAAAAATGTTAGTTTGATAAAAGCTTAAAAAAACTTATGGTTTAAACAATTTGTTCAGTTAAATTCCATTCATTTAGTTAAGGGAATTCATTTTTTACCCAAAATCAAAATCAAAATTTACCAAAAATGCCAGATTTGCAAGATGCTTGCATGTTAATTTATTTGTATAGTATTTTTTGCTTTTTAGAGCAATTTAATACCATTCAAAGTTTGTATTTTTTTTGTGTGGCGATTCTATCAATATTTTTATTTCTCTTATTTTTTGGTTAAGAATAGTTTGCGTTTTTTATTTGATGCTTTTTTATATTGTTGTTGAAATTTTTTTTGCCACTATTTTGTACTTAATCTTTAAATTTTCTTTTCAGATTATTATGATTTATTATCTGTTGATATTGCAAGTTTTTAAGACATTCGTTGAGATTCTTTTGGTTAAATGATTTTTCCAGATTGATTTGATTGAGTTCCAAATTTATTTTTCAAAATCTATTTTTAAAGTTCCAAAAATAGTTTTTTTTTTTTATTATAGTTAAAAGGAAAATGGTTAAAATAATACCTCTGCAAACAGGGTGTCTTTAAAAAAAAATTTTAATTTGAAAATCAAAGTGTGAAATCATTATCATTACGTATAAATTGCATTCATTGAATATTGAAATTGGTAGAGGTTTTGTTTTGCGATTTTATAAAAAGCAATTAAATTTAATGTGTTTCCGCAACTAGTGCAACAATTATAACTTAAAGTTATAATTGTTATAATATATAAACACTTGAGTGAGAACTTTAAAGAACTTGAGTGAGAACTAAGAGGATTGCCCAAGAAACAATGTTTTTTTGGCCCTATGAATTTAAATGACCAAATTTTGGCCTATATGAATGGTTTCAACTATAAAAAAGTTTGCCTTATAAAAAAATTATTTGCCTTGATTACTCTTTTTTAGCATTAAAATGAGGCAAAAATATAAATTACTTTAAAACATGTTATCTGCAGATACATAGTAACAATAGGCTTGGACAGGAACGGCGTGCGATGGAGCACTATTGCTGACCACGCAATTGATTTTATTTTTTGACAACTTGACCGAGACTGTTTAGGCGATTTTTAGATAATTTAAGAAATGTGCTGAAAAAAGAAACGCTAGTTAAACTTAAACTAGAAAGAAAATTAAAAAATAAAAACTAAAAAAAAAAATAAACAAAGAAATTCTTTTCTTTTTTTTCAATTCCTTACAATAAAGAAAATATATAAGCACTAAATTAAACTCAAAAAAACTTAAAGCAAAAATTTTTTGTTACAATTTTAATTGTGTTTAAAATAAATTATTTAAAAGATTATCTTTTGGAATGCTTTATTGAAGTTTATTGCAAAATTATTAGAAAAATTTATTACTTCTAATGATTGTTTAATGAATAAACAATTTTTATTTAAATTACTAAAAAGTGTTATATTTATTATTTTAGAATTGTACATAAAAAAAAATTTAAATATAACATTATTTGTTATTTTAAACAATAATTACTTTTTATTTATTTAAACCCTTTGCGTAAAATAAAATCTTTAGAAAAGATCAACGATAAAAAGTTATTTATAACGTAACAATTTTTTTAAAGCATTTAAATTGTTAAAACATTAAAACTGTTGTGGTCAAATTGTAAAATAAAAATATTATAAGCGTGGTCAGTTACAGAGTGCGATCGTACGCCATTCCTGTCTAAGCCTGTAACTACATCAAACTTTCAACATAGTTTCAAGATGATAGTAAGATCCATTTATCATAGTAATTTTTTGATTGACTCATTTAGTCAAAACTTATAACTCAATTAGTGACTAAGACATTTGTAAAAATATGAAAAATTGAAATGTTATTAAATTTAAAAATTAAAAAGCCTCAGAAGCATGGAATATATATAAACAACAAATTTTCCAGAAAACTTCAACTTCTTTTTCCATTCAATCATAAATTTTCATGTTTTAAAATTTTAAAAATTAGCTAAAATCATAAACATAAAAAAATCAAGTTTATCTGAAATAATATAAAAACATATTTATGTTATTACTCTTTTGTTTAATTCATAAAGTCTTTTTTGACTGCTCTTAACTTTTTCTTTGTTTTTAATGATTGGACTGGATTGCTTCTTCATTCTTGTAACACATTAGCAATCATGTGCAATAGATTTGCGGCTATAATACTATGTAAGCTAAAGTATGCTTAAACTGCGTTCACTATGCAACTTCCATTATTATAATGCAAATTATTAAATCAATAAGGAATTGAGGATTACTTGGGAGGTAAACCCAAGGTACTTGACTCAACAATTGAAGTTACAAATGAAGAAAAACTTCAAAATCAACAATGCAAAGAAAAACCGTACATACTACCACATAAAAATGAATAATAAAATCATTTTAAAGAAAATACAATTCTGATTAAGAAACACTCAAATATATATATTATTTTTAAATCAAGATTTTTATATTGGGCTTCTACCTTAAATCACTTGAGTGAGAACTTTAAATCACTTAAGAGAATACAGGTACAAGTTAGAATGCAGGCACAAGGTAGAGGGGCAGGCATATTTCTTCATGAAACAGAGGCAGAGACATTTCTTCAGAAGGTAGAAAAAATAGAAGACAGAGAATTGGAAGAATTGATTCATATACAAAAGCAGCATTAGCTGATGACTCTGATGACTCACTTATATGCTTCCTATAAAGACCTGGAAGACTTTGTTGGAAGTGCATGCTAGTCAAGCTGAGTATGGATGAATTCCTACAAAACTAGATCTAG